GCAGTGTCCCTGCTCACTGCAGGGGGGTTGGACTAGATGACCTCTAGTGGTCCCTTCCAACCCTAAACATTCTATGATTCTATGTGTGATGGAGTGTACTGTAAAGGTGTCAGGTGGGCATTTTCCTGACACTGCCCACCTCCCCCCGTCCCCCCCCATAATCCCCCAACCCCAAATCAACCCAATCCACCAAGATAATTATTTCCCTTCTTCCTGTGGTAAGCTTTGAAAAAATTGTATCAAAAGAGAGCTCTGGAGGTCATCTTCAAGTCAGCTCTGGTTGCTCAGGGAACTGTCCAGGTAAATTTTGGATTTGCAAGGGTGGAGATTCCATCACCTTTCTGGGGCCAGGTTGCAGTGTTTATTACGCTCCTCCTGAATATGCTGTTCCTTTGTGCTCAGCTGGAATTTCCCTTGCTGTGACTTGTGACTGTTGCTTCCTGAGCATCCACTGCATGACTCTTGAGAAGAGTCTGTCCCCAGCTGCTCTGTATACCTTCAGACAGTGGGAGACTGTGGAGGTCCACTCTGTCCCTTCACTTTCTCTTCTTCTGGCTAAATAAGGCCAGTTCCCTTAGCTTTTCCTCGAAGGTCATGTGCCTTCAGCCCCAGCAGCCCTCATCCTCTCTGACTACTTAGTGTCACTCTTGTATCAGGGGACCCAAACTGGACACAATACTCCAGGTGTGGCCTCAGAAGTGCCAGATAAGGGGAATAATCACTTGTCTTGACCTCCTGGTTACATTTTTGATAGTGCAGTCAAATTGCCATTAGTCCGCATCGCAGCAAGGGCAGTCTCCAGAGCACGACAGAGTATACTCAGATCGGTAGTCTCTGCAGGTAGTATGTTCTTGTTAGATGGGCAATGATATGCCAGATTTCCTAAACAATTGGCCACTGAGTCTTACAGGATATGCGGTATGTTCCTCTGCAAATCAGTTTGGAAGCTGATTTGAAGAGTCTTGCAGACACCTTTTTTCCTTGCATGTACGTAACGTGGTTTTTTTCTGTGGTGCAGGATACCTGAAATCTGTCACTTTGGGGCCTGTCATTGTTGGTAGGTTTGTTTGATTTATGACGTAAAGTGCTAAATGACTCTCATATTGAGAAGTTGTTAGAATTTGTTTGATTAAAAAAAGGGGGGGTGTAATGGTCATAAATTCAAGATGCTGAGCTTTCTAGCTGCTTTAGAAGTCTCTGTTTTACCTCACATGTCCTAGGCAAACCAATTGCTGCTTCAACCACACAGTTTGGTAATAAATACTAACAATTGGCAACACCTTTATGACTTTAAACAAGACTCTTTTTTTCCATATAGCATTTCTTGTGTAACAAAACATATTTAGAGGTGCTTTCTTTCTGATTGCTGGGAGGTTGCCTAGATGAGCCCTAATCTGTGTAGTTTTGGCAGAGTGGCTCAGCCTGCTGTGGACTAACATTTACGAGCAGTCAAATGAAAGGGAAGCATGTATTCTTGGCACTGTCAGGTCAGTTTGGCAGAGGTGAGCTGGCTGAATGCTTGAACATGTTGGCTTGTAGAAATAACTTTCTGGCTTGGAAAGGATGGGTCTATGAGTGATGCAGAACTAGTGTGCGCAAGTTTTTAAAGGAACTTTTGTTTGATCGGTGCTTCTTATCTGTCAGAAAATGAGCAGAATTGCATTCATAAGTGCTTACTCACATCCTACATCCTTAAAAAGATGGGAAAAAAGAATGGTTGGATTGTGATAGTAGGAAACCAGAGAAGGGATTCTAGTGGTTATTGCATTTTTGTGGTTGAAAACATCCAAACACTGCACAAATGTAATTAGCATTGCAAGTAACAGTAAAGTGAAAACCCAAACTTCTTGACTATATTAATTAAGCAGAAATGTTAAGTCAGTTGAGGGCTAAAGATTTACATTGTCTATACCAATATAACTAGAATTGTAATTGCCCGTGGTTCCACTATGTGTCATCTCATCTCTGATTTGGGAGAGAAATAAATGACAGGGACTACTGTTTATTGGAGAAGAGATATTTGGAGACAAGGCACAGTTTGTGGCCTCTCATAACTGAGAGGCGTAAGCTTTTTACCATGTCAAATGTCACCTGTCATTCCAGTGCATGTTTGTAGTATATTAAGCCTTTTCAAATTGCATATTGCCTAAACTTCTGTACAATCAAGAGACTGCTTATCATTCATGCACTGTTGAAAAAGGGCAGCCTGCCATCTCTTTAGGGTAACTGTAACCAGGAAAAAAATGAACAGTATGATAAATGTGGTTTTTAAACCACTTGAGACTTGCTGACAATGAATGTTTAGCTTTGGTTTTGTTCAGTGTTCAAGATTATCCTCAGTGACTGACTTTTGATGGTCTTCAGTAGAACGTGATGAGCCAGACGTACTTGTGTGTAACGGATGTGCTAACTCTCTTCTTAGGTATGTGTTTGATGGAGTTTTCCTTGGTAGTTCAGGAGATGAGAAAAAAGGATGAAAGACTTTGACGTTAAAAAAAGACCAGAGTTGCAGGCTGCAAGATACAAGAGTTTGATCTAGACACGCTTTCAGTAAAGCCAACAAAAATCCATAGCCTTATTTAGCAAAAAAGACTTTGGGCAGTAGATACATGAAGCATACTTTTGAATCATGGTCCGTTTGTATGCCTGCAACATTTTTGTGCTGGTACCTCACCCCCATTTAAGGGTAAGTTGATCAGTGAGGTGCGAAGAGTGATACGAATTATCTTTTTTTTTTTTTTTTTTCCCCTTCTCATTTTTGGTTTGGAGAAACTAGATCAACAATAAAATAACATAATTCAGGTGATACTTTGTGGTAAACTGCTTTTATTTTTATTCCTAACAGTACATCCTTTCGGGCTCTGATGACTTCAATTTGTATATGTGGAGGATTCCTCCAGATCCAGAAGCAGGTAAGTTTTTCTTTTTTTTTTAATTTTGGAATTTGGGGGGATGGGGGTAGGTGTCTGACAAATACTAGTTTGGTTTTTTGAAAAATTGCTGTTCTCACTCGGCCTCTGAATCTAGAGTAATTCTGATAAAAGCTGGATGGGGAGAGTTTACAAATGCCTGGATGACAATGGACAATACCATTTGAATCTTCTGTTGTGCTGATTTTATTTCTTGTCTCATATAACGATCACTTAAATCTTCTAGATGAGCTGATGAAGAGAAAGAGCTGTGGCTGGAGCAGCGTGTGTCTTTCCTCCCTCTTGTCTACCAATTCTGCTGCTTCTAAGCTGATCTCAGTTCTGAAGAATTTAGGATCTGTTACTAAGAAATTTCATCTCATAATGAAGCTTGCAGCATAAAATGGTGCTGGTTCACAGGCTGCTCCTTACAGCTCCAGTGCATTGGCCTCTCTTGCCCTTTTTCTTTCTGCTTGCACCAAAACCCTCCCACTGATTTCTAATCTAGAGCAGTTACGTTTTTGGTTTTTTTTTTACTTTCTGGGTGGAGGAGCGCTATCAGCTGGTGGACATGACCACTTGTGACTCATTTCTGACCCTTTCCCATGTTGGGGCAGACATGCTAAGCAAATAGCACAAGCTCAACTCTGTGTGAAAGTATAGGAGAGGGATGTTAGAGTAAAAACCAGCACCAATGTGTGTGCAGTAGTGTCAGTGCCTAATTTGATTATCATCTAGTATTGTGTAGGGTTTGGCAACACAACACGCTAAGACATACAGCGTCAGCATATCTCTTCTGTTGAAACAAATCGCTGTGCTCTTTTAGAAGGTGTAGAATCTTGATTGAAAGACTCAGGACTTTAGGAAATGTACTACTGTTTCTATTTTTAATGGCTCTGACAGTTTAAACTGCACATTTCAGTGGTATTAAGTACAATTGAGTGCTATCCTGTGGTCTCAGGTGCATTAGCAATAGTGAGAGCAAATTACAAGCTGTGTTAGAGGTAACATGAAAATATTTTGTTTCATTTTCAAAGGTTGTTAATCACAGCTGTGTAATCTGCAGCTGAGAGGATGACTAGCCTCTAAAAGGTTTGGTTAACAGCAGGGTTTTGAGGAAAATGGCATTCTAATTTTGGATGGCTTATTTAACCAACATTTGATGTTGCAGTCCAGAAGTTCTGAAGATGGTCCTGTTAAATACACTGCTACCTTGGCCTTCTATCTTTGCGCAGGATTTATAGAGACTTCTCCCTGCTTTCCTTTAATTTTTATTATTTCCTTTTACATTTGACACTGTTTTACTACTACTTACGGGATTTCTTCTTAGTTAAAACAAGTTTGCATACACTTAAATTAGTTATTTATCTATAGGTTTTTATGTGTTGACTGTAGAATTACATTTTATGCATGTTACTATACTTGCTCTGACTCTATTTATAAATTCTGGATTTAGGGTTTTGTGTTTATCTGGCTGTGATGCTCTTGAAAACTTTTTTCCCAAGCAGCTGCAGATGATAAACTTTTTATCTGGGACCTTTGCACAAAGGGTGATAGCTAGAATTACCACAGACAATGTCTTACATGTTTTGGTCAGCTTTCTTGTTTCTGGTTCTTGTAACTTGAGGAAGGGTGTCAGTAAACTTGCAACATTTCAGTTACAAAATTACTTACTTAATGTCAATTGCCCTAAGTGATTGCTTAATGGGATCAGAAGATCCTGTAGTAGGAACATGTATGTCTTAGTCTCTTGTAATTTGCGCAGTTCTCTTACTGTAATGTTTTAGCGAAACTCATGAGCTTTGTTTTGTTAGACCTAAAGATTCGGCTTCTGTGGCAACTAACTCATTGGCCATCCACATCACCTGTGATAGGCTTATTGAAGTGCTTCTCTTCTTCATACCACTCTTCTTGAAGGGTTGTGCCTGTTCGGAATGTGATGAAACGTGCTTTCTTAAATCTCATCCTGTGCTTCAGAATAATTGTTCAGCTAGAGCGGTTGCTGCACTTCCTCCTTGGAGAAAGAGTCTTGCTTGTAGGGATGTGGAGACCTTGGAAAGCTGCTGCTTCAGTGGAAAACTCCCTGTTCTCATGTTCTAGCTTAAAATAGGAATGTCTTTGGGTCTGTAATCTGAGGGGGTGGAATGTGGTCTTTCATTTAAAATATTGTACAAACTAGATAGGATGATGTAATGTCCTGTACTGTTGGTTGGTATTTAAAAAAAAAAAAAAAATCTCTGATTTCTACCTTCCGGCTGAATTCAGACATTATGTTACTATAAATATTTATGATACAGCTCCCTTAAGTTATATCAACTATTTGTAAACAGCGACTTTTTTTGCAAGTGTAAACAGAGCTGCATCCTTAACAACAACTCTGAAATAGATTATTTTGCTTAAGTACAAGTGCAGCAAGTACTAACTATCTAATGGTTAGCAACATTACTATACAAAAGTTGAAGAAAAATGGGAAGGAACACACCAGTTGGACAACTGCAAACATATTTTGAGTTGGAGGAATGTGGTTACCTGTGTTGGTATTTTGCCAGGAGAATGGAACAAATTCTGCTGTTTTTTTGCAAATAATCATAATTTAGAGGTGTCCTCCCAGTGGGTTGAATTGAGTCAGTTCCACTTAGCTGGAAACTCTGCCAGTGTTTTTGTTCAGTCCAGTTACTAGACAGGATTTACTTTGGGGTGGGAGGTCTGTGAAAAAAGGTATTTCCGAACCTGCTTAGGAAGCTATTCTGTGTAAGTTTTATTGGCTGTCTCCCTCCACAATCTTAGATTATTCTGAATAGGCCAGGGTTTCCTATGCCAGAAGGTTGGTTGCTTTTGTCCTTTCTTCAAGATGGAATAGTTTGATCATTTTTCCACTTTCTTCATCCAAGTATTACCCAGCTTTCCACAGTGCTTCAGAAGTAATTGTCGATTGTTTGGTGAATTTGTTAGCTGATTTTCTCTTCAAAGTACATATCCCAGTTTTCTTCAGAGGCAGATTTTCTAGCAAAATTAATAAATTAGTCTGGTAGGAGAAAAGCAGTCCCGAGTTTCCACAACTTTTGCTTGACTCCAAAGCAAGCTACAAATGACAAGAGACATCAGTCCTACATGATCTGCCCAGCAAGACTGTTAACATATAAGCACTTCAGGCAGTATTTAAACCTAACTCCTATAAACATGGTCTCTTAGCTGGTAAAGAATCCCTGTTCAAGACAGAACCTGACATGTCTTGTGGGGTAATAGAGGGCTTAGCAGACCAAATGTTTTGCAAAATGGAATTTACATTCCTCACCCACTACTCTGAATCATCTTTGCAACTCGGAGCTTGTCTCTTGCTTTTGAAATATTGCTTGAAGATGCTGTGTGAGGGATATGATATTTATTTGCGATTGAGAAGACAGTTGGGGATCCTTCAGTTTACGTGAGCAGGCTGTCACCAGACTTCTGAAGAACTTCACTAAATCAGAACAGCAAACTGCATTTCAAAACCTCTTTTTAATTCTGTCTTTGACTGTAACTCTTAGCAAGAAAGGGCCTGTCATTGTGGTCCAGTTACTAAACTAATTGCACCAATACTCAGTAGAACTGATGCAAGTTTTCTTCCCTTTTTTCTTCTCGGTCATTGTAACTGCAGACACCTCTATAGGCTTGAAGAATTCAGCAAGAGATCATTTCACAACATTTGAATGGGATTATCTCATTGGAGACAGCTTGTGGTTTAAGTTCTCTAAGTTCCAGGCTGATAAGTGAAGATGAATAGTAGATGATTAAGTGTTTCTTAATGTCTTCAGCTATTTTTGAGATTTTTATATAGGTACACACATGCATATACATACATACCAGTTGGGTTGGGGTGGGGGAAGCCATCTGGCCCAATGGGGAGCATGTTCTGGAAGGTTTGTATTTTTTAAAAAAATACTTTTCTGAGGCGCGGTCTTGGGATCTAAACTCTTTTACTTTTAGGTCTGTAGTTTGTCTCTTCTTTCAGGTTAGTGTTGACCATAGTGTGCTATGGAACAGTTGTTTGATTATCACAGCAAGTAAGTGGTGGGGCAGTGTAGTGGGGTTGTTGTATTCAGTGGAATTTAGACTGGTTTCCATGTCATGTGTATTGTAATACCAGAAATCTGTGGAAGTGTCCTGGCTAGATGGCATCTATCAGAAAACAAGGTGATGTTGGGTGCTTTGTAGAGCTGTAGCCAAGTGGAGGAAGATTCAGCATCCATGAGTATTTCTCTCACTGGCCTTAGCATGTTTAATATCTAATTTAGCACTAGAAAGCTAAAGATAACACTGAACACTGGGAGAGGCTGGAGGAGCCTTAGTCCCCAGCAACTAGCCATCTGATTGTACCAAAGCTCCTTTCTCTCTATTGGATTGAATGTGTTTGCAGCTACCAGTACAAAATAAATCAAAGGCAAGCAGTTTTCACACCTCTTTTTTCAAAAAATCCAGCTATCAGTTGCGTGATAATTTCATGTATTTTATTCCCTTTCTGTTCAGAAAGCATACTTGGCGGTGGTAAATTGTATGGTTCCAATTACACTGTAAAAAACATTGCAACCTATGCAGTTAAACACACCAGAAGAGCAATCTTTCTCAGACCAGAAGAGGGGACAGAGTGGAAAGGGTGTGCCAAATTTATTTCTATAGTAATTTTGTCTTCGCTTTCACATTGTTGTTCAGCTCTACTGGTGATAACAGCAGTGGGAGGGCTGGTATAGATAAGGCATAGATAGATATGGCAGATATTTAGCAGCAACAAAAGAAGGGAGAAAATATACATCTAAAAATAGCCACTGCAAGTACAGCTTTCTGCATATTCTTTAGCCTTTTAAATACTAATTTTTTTCTTTGGCTTTTGGAACCTCTGCAGAGGTACTAGACCACCACGGGGCTGGTTCTAGGCGCAGGCTAGGCAAAGTGGGTGATTGCCTGGAAGAGCAGGTTGCCTGAGGCAGGTGCTGACTCCAGCCCGCTGCTCCCTGTGCTTACATGAA